TACATACTATATATATAGTATATACATTAATTGATTGAAAATAATATATATGTTCCTTTGTTGGGAAAGGGATGAATAAAATGTGAAATATTCATATGATAGAATAAAATAGGCCTAAAATTCATAAGTAAGTTTTGAGAGTGGAACCACATTAAAGATTAGAAAGAAAGCACTAACTTGGAAGTACTTCTACCAAATGTTTGTCCAATCTTAACAATGACTCAGTTGTCCTATCCTTGTCTGACATAATGCATTTCTTGGTTTCTTGTGTAGCTATGTGATTTCTTGACTAATATCTGCACACGTGCTTGCTGTAAAACCCTTATTCCCTGCCTTGTCCACTATTTTGTCTCAGAGTGCTTAGCAAATAGCAGTGATCCAATCAATATCATTTGAATGAATGAAGAAGTCACTAAATGAAGTGACATTTGGATATAATCCTAAGTTTGAAAATTCCTGCTTATCTATAAATGCTTCCTATTTCTCATCTGTCACTGACTCTGTGTGTGTATGCGCGCGCACGCGTGTGTGTCGTAATAGAATTAATTTTCTTTGGTAGATCATTTGGGGGCAAATGATCACAGTCTTATAGTCTTTGTCATTAGTACAGGTCTGAGTACGATTTACATATTTGTTCTAATATAGTCTGCTTGGCATTCAAGCTGTTAAATCAAATCTCTTAATTTGCCCCCAAATTCTCTAAGCTCTATTAATTCCAGACAACTTATCAGAAGTAAATATTTTGAGGCTTTGCATTCCTCTCACTCTTTGCTTCTCTTCTTTCTACAGTACCTTCCAGATCCAATATCAAGCTAACTCCTCCAGGATTTGTCCCTAGGCGTATGTCTCTGTCATGTCTACCACCAAAATATTCCATCAATTCTTTCCTTAACAGCCCTGAGCATCACTTCCGCATTAGAAAGTGATCTCCTGGAGCAGATGCTTGTCTAGTTATCCCTGCTTTCTGTTGTGGTACCAAGAACAAAACAGGTGGATAAGAAAGGTTTGTTAAAATGAATTGAACTTTCCAAACTCTCATAACATTATTTTTTTTCCTGTATCTTTTTCTAGGTCTGTCGAACCAAGGTGATTGATCTCAGTGAAGGCATCTCCCAGCACGCCTGGTACCCTTGCACCTTCAGCTATCCATACTCCCAGCTGGCTCAGACCACTTTCTGGCTCCAGGTAAGCCCAAGTCTTGGCGACATCTTCAGCAGTGGGCCCCAGGAAGCACTGGCTGCCATGATGATGTAATCTCAAAATGGTTTGTCCATGTACTAAGCCTATTTAGTTGTAAGGGCAGGGAACAAAACAGTATGTGAAGTGCTTCATGGAATAGATTCCTTAACTGCTCCACTCTTGAACAGGCAAAGAATTTGGCTGGCTTTCATCTGCCTGAAGTTTTTATTGTTATTTAAGTCCCTTAAAAGCTATCTTTTCCTCCCTGACGTCTTTCCTGGTTTCCACAGAAAGAAGTGACTATGTCCTTCCTTCCAGCTCTGCACATTGGGCCACCTGTTGGATGGCACCTGTCACATGGTATTCCAAAGCTGGTGTGAAATCTTCATAACTGGTGTTGATTTTGATGTATATGTCACTGACCTACTTTGAATCCCATGGTTCTCAGAAGTGCAAGGGCCGTGTCTTACTTAGCTTTGGTTCTTCACACAGAAGGTGGTGTGGAAACAGGATGTATAAGAAATATCATGCAGGGTCAGGGATATAGCTCAGTGGCACAGAGCCAGCCTGGCAAGCATGAGGTCATGAGTTTGATTCCCAGTACCAAAAAAATAAATAAATATCATGCAGTTTTTAGTGTGGTTTGAATGTGTACCAGGCCCTATACTTGACACTTTATTCTTATTGTTTTACTACAGTCTCACAGTAACCCTGTTAAGATCACTTTTTTTCCTTTAATCCACTATTAGAGATGAGAAAAGTTAGGTCCAGAGCAGCCTGGCCATCCTTGCAGTGTCATGCAGTCAGGTAGGAGCAGAGCTAAGCCTGGAACAGCATTTCTAACTCCTAGGCCTGTGCCTGTCACTGTGAGACTTCACCCGTTTCCTGTCCAATCTATGGCTCTTAATGAGCAGCATAAGTCCAAAAACGGGGGAAGATTGTCCTCCATCTACCACCATAGCTGCTTGCCTACCGCATGACTGAGAAACTGAGTGACTCTCCACGTCTTCTCCATTTCAGGCATATTTCTCTCAGCCCATGGTTGCTGCAGCTGTCATTGTCCACCTGGTGACTGATGGGACATATTATGGGGACCAAAAGCAAGAGACTATCAGCGTGCAGCTGCTTGACACCAAAGATCAGAGCCACGACCTAGGCAAGCACGTTCTCTTGGCATGGCTTGTTCACGGGACCTGCTTCCACGCTTCTGCAGTGGGTGGTTGTGAACATCCGCTTGGAATGTCTTCTTCCATTCCCTTTTGTCTTTCCTGTTTCTTTACACATTGACATTCTAGTTTTCTTACTAAAGATGTGGGTGTATATTCAGACAGAACCTAAATAGCCAGGTTTCAGAATCATCACCCTCTAGCCAGAGGGGTCTGTGAAAACCCCCTCCATGGTGATTGTGTGTGTCCAACACAGCTTCCAGAGAAGATCCTTGTGGGAGAAGGACAAGAAAGTTTTCTACTGGGCTCAGGAATGGAGAGGCAGGTGAAGAGGCGCATGCTACCTGCTGAAACACTGCCTTGATCACAGAGCTGAATCAGAGAGCCAGGGACAGAACTGTCACTTGTACCACCCTTGCATACCCACCTGCGCCATGGTGTTAGGAATAGCCCAACCCCAGAGCTAACTGCCACAGTTTGAATTTCATACCTGCCACTCACCCACCGTGGGAGGTTACACAATTTTCACCCCTTCTCAGTGCCTTGCTGTCTTCATATGCACGAGAAGAACAGTGATGCGCACCTTACCATCAGCGCTAGATGTTCCTTGACACTGTTGTGACCACACCCAGCATGGGGCCTGGCACTAAGAGCTCCCTGTTAGCACTGAGGAATCCCAGTTACACCCTTTCTTTTCCAGTCTGCCCTGGAGAACTCTGGGTAGCCCTTCAGAGTGTTTGGAATTCCGGGCCAGCCCTAGAGCCTGGGCTTCAAAGCTGTGCCCGCACCATTCCCCAGAGAGCGCCTTTCAAAAACCCATAAGAAGCAAGCAGACAAGGGGTCATGGTGGGGTCAGATTGAAGCTGAGAGAGCAAGGAGGATTTTTGTTTTGTTTCGTCTTTATGTTTGTTTATTTAGTCAGTTTTAAAGGCAAGGGGAAACATATTAATAAGGAAGAGAAAGCAAGCCCCTCTGGAGTTTTCTGGATTCCTGGGAAATTTCCCTAAGTGAGAAATAAATATTTTCATAGTTGTCCCGGCCTTGCGAAGGGCTCTGAGGAGAGGTTTCTCAGGAGAGCGAGGAGAAGTCTAGTTCCACAGGAGCTGTCTGGATCCTGCTTCGGGAATCTGAGGCTTCTGCCTTTCCTTGTTCCTCCCCACCGTGTTCGCCTGCCTCAGCATCCTGGAATTCCCAGGAACAGAGAAAGGCGCCTGCTGGGCTCATGGCTTCCTGCATCTGCAAGGGAGAATTCTTGTACCCTAGCAGCCTACCAGGGCTCTTATGGGCATTATGCCATTTTGTAGATGTTAGGTTGGAATTTCAGCCAGTTTTCCGGAGTGCTGGTCAACAGGAAGATGCTAAGCCAGCGTTGACACCCAAATCCACCAAAGCCAACTTCTGTTTTGCCAGCTCCTTCCAACTTTCTCATTCCCTTTTGCCCCACACCCTTTCTGTGTCATTGTTCTCCTGACTCTCTGTGCTGCTTCCCAAAGCCTAGGGACTTTCTGCCTCTTCTAAGCAAGACTTGAGTACTCTTGCCTGGGGCAAGCTTGGCATTGGTGCTCAGTCTGTGCCATGGCCCTGTGGCACTCCAGTGTCTGCCTCCTGCTCTGCGTATGGGCCATGTAGGCTCTTACCCCTCAGGCCTGCTCCAAGTTTCCAGATTGCAGGCAACAAAGTTTTTTGTGTTTGGTTTTTGTTTTTTTCTCATACCCTCGAAGGGGCCTGTTGCTAAGAATTGATTCTCTCACCTTTATGACCATCTAAGCAGGCAGCCTGAAAACTACCAGCTCAGACCATCCAGCCCTATGGCAATGTGGGAGGGAGCTGAGGGCCAGGGATGCTAGCCTGAGGGGTGGCCGCTTGCGAGAGGGAGAGGGGCTGTGGGCACTAGGTGAAGGGAAAGCTGAGGGGGCAGGGAGGCAGGAGGATTGGAAAGATTTGGAACCAAGAAAAAAACAGCAGACAAAGAAACTTTCAATCAAACTCAAAATCCCCACTGGTCGCCCAATGGTGCTTTTGTGCAGTGACATGAAAGGGTCTGGGGGCTTCAGGAAGGGCCCATTGGGGAGGGCGTGACTGGCCTTGAGTAATGAGCCTGGCCCCTCGGCCCTCTGTCTCCCCTGACAGGCTTCCATGTCCTGAGCTGCAGGAACAATCCCCTGATTATCCCTGTGGTCCATGACCTCAGCCAGCCCTTCTACCACAGCCTGGCGGTACGTGTGAGCTTCAGTTCGCCGCTGGTTGCCATCTCGGGGGTGGCCCTGCGCTCCTTCGACAACTTTGACCCTGTCACCCTGAGCAGCTGCCAGAGAGGAGAGACCTACAGCCCTGCGGAACAGAGGTAAGGCATCCTGGGCCCGCTCATCCGGTGCCATTTGTAATCACATGGAAACATGGAGGTTCTGAGTTTGAGTAGCTGTTTGCGCGCCTGTAAAAAATCTGCATGTTTCTCCCTTCTCCGTCTTCTGTCCTTTGACCAGCTCGGCCTTTGGGCTTGAAAAACCAAGAGTCCCTGAATTCATGGGATGAGTGAGGGACGCATGGTAGAAAGACACCCTGCTTCCCCTAGCCTTACACAGAGTTGGCAGTGGGATACAGAGTGACCTGGAAATGGCAGTGTCTTTCTCTGGGGCTCAGGATCCCTACCTGAACAAAGAGAAGGCGGGTGGATTTGCTCTTTCAGCTCTCAGTGCTGGAATATGCAGAGTTATAGATGGTACAGGCAGAAGGCATTGTCCTCTTAAATCAAGGAGGATGGAGTGACACCAGTATCTGGTTCATCACAGTTCACTCTGCATTTAAGAGGTGGGTGGAACCTCCCTGTCTTCTGCAGATTTAGCCCCAGAGATGGCCCCATGGCCTGGGAGCCTCTCTTTTAACTGCATGCTCTCACTCCAGAAAGCACTTTTGACTTGGCATTTGTGAATGTAGCTCTTTTTGAGGTAGAAGGAAATGGTGTTTCCGGGAGAGAATATGAGCTTTGGTACTTCAGTTTGACTTTCCAAAATACCACTTCTCCCATGTGTGCCCTTGAACGCATCACATCACCTCCCTTTTTCAAACCCTCAGTCTTCTATTTTGGAGGACGCAGATAATACTCTCTTTCTCACAAAGTGGTTGTGAGAATTAATTACTGCACTGTGCATACAAGACAGTGCATTGTGCCTAACAATTTACAAAAGCATTGTCATCTATGATATCTGTAAAGAATATTTACAGCAACTTTGCAGTGATGGTGGTGGTGCTTCTCTGCATGGAATTCCATGCTGTTCTTAAAGTCAGAGCTGGAGGAAGCCTCAGAGGTGAGCTAGGACATCTAGCACATACAAATCTTGGAGTTACTATCCAGGATTTCAGGGCCCAGTCAGGGGAACAGTGGGAGTTTCCCTGTATCTCTCAAGTTTGCGTAATGCGATCCAGAAGAGGGGGGAAAGGAGTTGTTGTAGTGGTGGGCTTTGCAGAGTGAGACCCTCCACAGGGTGACTGAGCCCTTCCCTGCCCACCTGAAGGCATGGAGAAGAAAAGGGAGAGGGAAAGGGGACCCCAGCCTTTCCCACGCCCCTGCTCCCACAGAGGACATAAAAGGTGGTTGCAAAATCCACATTGTTTTGCACCCGCTGTCTCCAGCTTCTGTTGTGCAAAGTCTGTCGCAATCATTCCCAGGCAAGAGCTCCTTAAATATCACTCATTGTCATAGTTCTCTCTAAGAGGGCTTTTTTATCCCCGGCTCTGCAGACTCTATAAAAGTAAGTTAATTCTCCGAATACAGGGAAACAATGTTGATGGAAAAGACAAGTCCATAAGATTTTTCTACAGTGTGATCCCTCTCTTAGCCGGCCATCCAGACCATCCACAGGTTCACTGAAGACTGCACCAAGTTCTTTGGATTCTGATTTGACCATTCCTGTGCCCTAAGTTAGTAGTCAGAAGTGTCGTACCTCGATCTGTGTGTTTGTGGAGTCCTTTGGTGCAGCAGGCATGATGAGCAGGGTCAGAGGGTTGCCCTGTCTCTCTGTGGCTGTGGCCAAATTGTCCCCTCTCTCTAGGCCTCAATTTCTCAGTCTACAAATGGATGATGATAGTTTGCATGTTCTCTGTGGTTCTTTCCAGTTGTAACTATCTTTGATTCTTAAGACAGTTACAACTGGGTCAGTTACTGGATCAGACAGTCACAACCCCTATTCAGAGCATTACCTTATTTCATTCTCACACCTTTTCTGGGGAGCGTCTGAGAAATGCGGTGAGTGAAGGACATCCAGGCAGGAAGATGCAAAATCCTGCTTCGTCTGCCCCCGAGAGTCATGTGCTGCCCAGTGCATCAGGTGTAAGGAGGGGAGAAGAGGGATTCTCAGGGATGGTCACGTGTGAACATACATGGTCACGTGTGAGTCAAGGGCTGGAGATGCAGCCCCAAGGGCCTTGGCTGGTTTCTCTGGGAGACTGCACAGACTGAGGAGGGATAGCTAAGCCTGAGGGGCTGGGGCACCTCTTCCTGAATGCCCCAGTAGGGAAAAGACAGGAGCGGTTCATGGGAAGCTGCAGAGGCATTTACCAAAACAGGCCAGATTCTGCAAATGTGCAAATGCATTGACAAAAACAAAGAAGGAGGGGAAAAAAAAGCAACCATGGCACAAAGCCCTGGGATGTTTTTCTTCATCCTCAAAATCACCAAAGGAAATAGCATCACTTTTATGGCACAACTTTCAGCTGGTTGTAATCAGAAAGTCCCACCTTTCTCTCAGCCATTTCCCAGGTAGCAAAAGATGCTGTGTCCTCTGTCCCTTCCCACCTCCCATCTGCACCCTTTCCTCTCCTCCTCCTGCAACTCTTCCCCTCCTGCTCCACCCTGTCCATTCTCTTCCTTGCCTTCTCTCCTCCTCCCTGTCCTCTCTCCCCACTCTCTCTCCTCCTTTTTCCCTCCCTCTCTTGCCCACCCTCTTCTCCTCATTGTCCTTCTCTTCTCCTGAGAGCAGTGTGGTATCCAGTGGGCTGCCAGGGGAGAAGCATTGCTATTGCAAAATCCATGTAGGCCGTGTGTTCTGAGTAGATTCAAGGGTCTTCCGTCTGTCCCTGTGCAGTACTTGGTATGAAATCTGAGGTCCAAAAAAGCAGGATCAGATTTCAAATGAGAGATCCAGCTGTGGAATTCCAGTCAAATCCCAACTCCGTGCCCAATAGGGAGAGAGGAAATGAGGGACAGAAAGGTGGAGTTGAGGAAAGTAAGAAGATTCATTAATGAAAAAAATTTGAGTCATGATGTTGAGCACATCCCCAGCATGTTTATTACACACACACATGCACACATGCACACACACACCAATACTTCTCTCCAATCTCATGATTCTAAACAGAAATTGAACAATTTTATTGTTAAATTCAATAGATCCTATATTTAGAGAGTTATCTTCCTTTTCTCTCTTCCTGGCTTCCACTCTCCTTTTCTCTCTTTCTTTCTTTCTTTCTTTCTTTCTTTCTTTCTTTCTTTTTTTCTTTCTTTCTTTCTTTCTTTTTCTTTCCTTCCTTCCTTCCTTCCTTCCTTCCTTCCTTCCTTCCTTCCTTCCTTCCTTCTTTCTTTCCCTATACTTCTTTTATTTTTTGCATTCTCTTTCTTCCTCTACCTCAAACTCTTTCACCTTTTCTACATGCTAACACATCCAGACAGAAGAAACACTGACTGATAGAAAGCTAACTTTAGGAAGGTCATTTTGGCTAGATGTGGTGGTGCACGCCTGTAATACTAGCACTTGGGAGGCTGAGGCAGGAAGATCATCACTAGTTTGAGCCCAGCCTAGACTACAGAGTAAGTTCAAGGCCAGCCTGAACTACATGAGAACTTGTCTCAGAAAAAAAAAGGAAGGCCATCTTTGGTGAGAAACAAGTTCTTTACGCGGTAGCCAGCATGGCGTTATCACTTCTCGGCCTTTTGGCTAAGATCAAGTGTAGCCAGCCTGGTGTTGACTGTGGTTTGTGGGGGACTTCAAACTGAAGCCAAGCTTTCCTATAGCCTGTGTGCTGCTAGGACCCAGGTGTGGAATACCTCATTAGATGACTACATAGAAATCCACATATGGAGTTCTGAACACAGAAGAAAGGTGATTATGGCCAAAAACTACAGATTTCTCATTGTTCCCCACAACTTCTTCCGGCAAAGAAATCATTGTGTTTGATTTCTCCCCACAAGTTCCCCAACCAGTAAAGAAATCAGTGTGTCTTAGACCATGGGCTGGAAATCGCTGCTCTGGGGGATATTCTGCAGCTGGAAGCACTGTCCCTGATCATGTGTGTCTTTGACCGTGCCAGATACTGCCTTATTTTCTCTAAAGTATTGCTCAATTCTAACCACCATCAGAGATCCACCAGGTTTCCTATATCCCCATATCCTTGTCAATAACTGAGATTCCCAAAGTCAAATTTTTCCCATTTCAAAGAGCTTTAACATTATATAACTCTGTCATTTGTCTTTATAAAACCACGACACCTAAAAGTTGAGATTCTGAAAGAGTCCCCAGTTCTACATCCTCACTTGAAAGGAAAGCCAGGGTCCAGGCAAGGGAAGAGAGGTCCATAGTCACCCAGTAAGCTTCGGGTGGAATCAGCCTTTGTATCCATTTTTCAGGAATCACTTCTTCTTCCTCTTCACCAGGGGTTTCAAGTCTGGTGTCCAAAAACATTTTGATGGTAGTTTATTTCTCACTAATTATCTTCTTTAACTAATTTCTAACATTTAAATATCAAGAGAATTGATGTTAAGAACCACGATTCTTCATTGAACCCATTAAAGAAATTAGGTGCTGTGAAAGCAGCAGGCCTGCTAGGCCTCCTTGGTCCCAGCTTATCTTACCTTTCAGCTTACCAGGTCCCCTTGTCTGCCTGGACCCTACAGTCCAATCAGTTTGTATCTCCTACTTTTCAAAACCTTGGCTATCTACCACACTGCAGTGCTGGATCTTAGAAATCCACAGTAGAAGAGTCAGTTAGGGTCATGTGCCCCAGTAGCCTCATTTTTTGACTGAAAACATGAGGTCCAGTTATGCTAGCTCTTTTTCAGTCTCATTTCCCAAATGACCTGCAAACATCATCTCCAGGGCAGTTTTCCTTTTATTTTCCAGTGTTGGACGTTCTGTCTTTTTTTGTTGCCTCCATCTGAGCAACCTGAGGTAACTTAGACATCACCTGAAGTCATAAGCTTCATTTCTCCACAGCATAACTGTAGCAGGCCACAGGAGTTAAACCAGGAGTCAGAGGACAAGATTATGAGAAGAGCCTCCATTGGCCCTTTAGCTCTGGCTTCATCTTGGTTCTAGCACTGCCCAGTGTGTCTTCTGCTAGGCACAGTTGGTGTCCATTTCATTTAGCAGTGGGAACGACAGTTGAGGGATTAGTTGGTAGCATAAGATTCTCTATGGAATTTGCATCTGTAAACAAATACATGAAAAATAAATTACTAAAGTATTTTTTTTAGCTCTGTGTCAGGTCTCCACCCTTGCCCAGGTGTGAGAACTGGATGGATCAAATTATCTGTATCTCTTCCCCTATGCATCCAGTCAGCCACTTTCCTTTAAGAGTGTTTTATTTTTTTCCTTATTTTGTTGTTCTTCCTAAACATCCATTGCTCCTTCCCCCCATTAAAAAATCAGAGCCTTTTCTTTTGTCTTGTTCTTGTTTTTGTTTTTGTATTTCAGAAATGACAGGGTTGTCACTGGGAGTTATGTGGGAGGGCCAGCTGGGGTAATGTTTATCATTTTTGGACATTGTTTTCACCCAACCTTTTTCAACCAACAGGATAGCAAAGGAAGGAGCAGGGAGTTAGGGAACACACTGGAAGATCTCCATCCAGATTCTGTCCAGGCTGAGTGCCCTGGGGCAAGCCATTTCAAAGTCATACTCCAAATGAGAATAATGCCACTACCTCCAGGAGTTAGTGTGTGTTTGCAAATAAGGTGATGTAAGTAAAACACCATGGCTCATGCCTGACACACATTATCTTCAGCTTCCTTTTCTTCCTGTGTGCAAGTCTGCACACCATGTGCAGACAGATGTGCTAAAAACCCAATAATGCCTCACTCCCCATAGTGTGTTCTGGAAGACACTAGTCCTAAGAAATACCCCTTGCAAAAAGATTTCAGAGTTTAAGGGTAATTTTCACCTTAGACCCTTCTGGACATGTGAATGTGTATTAGAATTTTGAATTTTCTGAGAGGTTTCACAATATAAAAGTTGATTGGTCTCATTAATCCGATTGCTGCCTGTGCTCATCTAACTGAGGGACCTTTTGGTGACCAGGGCATAGTTTCCTTTTCTTGCAGAAAAAGACAGAGCAGAAAGACAAATTTCTCATGAGGCTTCATAGCTTCCAAAGCATTTCTTCCACATCTACCTTTTTATTCATTGACACGCATACTCCATTCTGTTCTGGATCTTCGTACCTGCTCTAGAATCTGCCAGGAACTCTCTCCACCTCCAATTTTTGTAAAACTGATTCCTGCATTTCATCCAGATCTTAGCTCGATGTCCCTGGGTTGTAGAGCCTTCTACAGACTGTGTCCTGCCCCTTCCCCAGAACAATCATCCTCTACAACTTCACTTCATTGTAATGTCATTACTGTGTGCATCACTATCTGAAAGGGCCCCCCCTTCTCCCCACATGTCCTTCCTTCTTAGATACCCGGGATGCCACATACCTTACTGGTCCCCTCCGGCAGAATTTAGTATTCAGTGAGACCCTGTCAATGTCTGTTGAATAGATGACCAGAGAGGTGGCAATTCATCCTGCTGACAGTTCCAAGAGATAAATCATTTTATTGCTTCCACTTCACAGAGGAGGCAACTGAGAGCCTTAGGATGTTTTATACATTTCAAAGTTTACACAACTGATAAACGGCAGAGCTAGAACTTGAACTTAGATGTCCTCAATCAATATAGCACCGTGCCTTTTCCGTTTAGGGAAATAAAGTGCTTCAGTTTTTCATTTTCCTCTGAAGAATAACTTTAACATGCACAGAACAAGGAAAAAGTACTGTTTTGTCAAGAAAAGCTCCAGGGCCCAGAGAAGAAAGTCCTCTTTCCCTCTGGATCCTCACAGGGCAGGCGCGCTGGAGCCTTCTGGGAGTATGGAGCAAGCAAGAGTATCTAAACTCGAAGGCACAGGTCAGAAACAGCTTGAGAGCTGGTAGTAGCTTACGGAATAAATCTATTTAAATTGGAACCATGTGGCTCCTTCCCCCAGCACTTAGACAACATGAACAAATGCATTGTTTCATGTCAAAGCCCTTGTGTTGACACCGTAGTCACAACCTCTTTAAGAGCTCCACACGCTGCAACGCTGAGGGCTCAGGAGCAGGGAGAAGAGCGAGAAGGAACAGAATGAGAAAAGCCCAGCAAGTGTCACTTGGTGTCAGTCTCCCTGTGTATAGCGAGGGTGTATGGGGAGTGTATAAAGCCTCCGTGGGGAAGGTCTGGGACCAAAATTAAATGTTCATGCTTCCCTGAGCATTTAAGAAAGTGCGTTTGCTTGTCATCTGTTTTGGAGGCTTTGAGCTCCTTTGTCTTCCCCACTTTGTTTCTCACTGTACTTGGAGCAGCAGGCAAAGCGTGCAGTGTGCGTAAGCACGTCCCAGTGACGCGCTTAGTGGAGAATTGTGAAGCAGCCACCATACATCAGAAAGTTCTCCCAAAGTCGGAGATGCTAGATTAAAACCAGAAAGTAAACGACTGAAGTTTTGGATGCAAATGTAGCCATGTGTGCATACTACAGGTATCGAGGCAGACACCATCAGAGAGGCGACAGTCAGAGAAAAGTATCCCTAAGAAGCTTTCTCTGTTAGAAATCAACACCTCAACCTCAGCGCAATACTTACGAGCCTTCATTTGTTTCTTGTCATTTGGCAGTGTCTGCTGTGTAAGGCATTTTTTTATTCAAAATGTAATGTTCACGAGGTGAAACAGACATCTCTGCCCTCAAGGATGCCATAGTCTACGACTGTGGGTCAAGGTTAACAATAAGGACTTTTGGGTCGCACATGTGGGTGAGAACTTATACGAGTAACTTAATCTTACTGGGCCTCCATTTTTTCCAATTGTAAAATGAGTAACACTTAGCTCAGAGACTTATTGTGAGGCTGGAATGAGCTCATGTATATAAGCAGTGAGTGAGTAGTAACTAATATTACCGAGTGTCTGTATAACTGTAATGTAAGAGGAAAGAACCAAACACAGGAATTTCATATGGTTTCTGTTTGCACTGCTAAGGATTAGCACCCATTCCAGGAACTAGTGGACACCCAGGGCCTGTGTTTTTGTTGCACCTAGCATGGGGCAACTTGTGAGAGCTGTCTTGTTAGAGACAAGAAGGCAGAGGGCTTATGAGGGAGCTCACCTAAGGACACAAGCGAAAGCTTTGCACAGAAATTTACTTATAGCTTAGGCTTGAAGAAGGGGTAGACTTCAGGCTGGAGGAAAAGTGGGCAATAGCAGAAGCAGCAAGGGGCAAGGCTCGATCTCTGCCTGATGTCCCTAACAATTCATAACTCACTTTGCAGTCTTTATAGAAGACTTCTAGCTCATCCCTTCAGTTGAGTTTAACAGTTCTGTGCTGCTAGCTGTATTTGAAGATATGCTGAGCTCAGAAAGGGGATGTGGTTGCCCAAAGTTGCACAGCTTTTAGGTAATGGGGGATATGTATATGTATACATTAGTGACCAATTACTGAGTGCTTAATATGTACCAGGTATTCTGCTGTGTTTATCAGGAATTAACTGAATTTGTTCTCCCATGACCCTCAGAAATGAATACTCTCATAAAATATAAAGAGGTTTCAACCCAGTGTGCCTGGTAATACATATTTATTATAATCCTAATGATTCTCATTTCATAAATCAGGAAACTGAGGTTCTAGCACTTTGGAAACTAGATAACATACCAAGCTTGCAAGTGGCATGATTTGAATCCAGATCATCTGTCCTCATAATTTATACTTTTAATGGTAAACTTTAACCACGGCCGCCAGTCTTTTCTAACCCAAGCAACACCCCTTCCTTTCCTCAGTCTCAGCCTCCTGAAATTTTGGTGAGGCTCAGTCATTATCCCCCTCTGGAGTGTAATTGTCTGTGAGAACACATCCCCTTACCCTCTCATTTTTTCCCTTCTCAGCTGTGTGCACTTTGCCTGCAAGGCCTCCGACTGCCCAGAGCTGGCCGTGGAGAATGCTTCTCTCAATTGTTCCAGCAGCGACCGCTACCATGGTGCCCAATGCACTGTCAGCTGCCAGACTGGCTACGTGCTCCAGATACAGCGGGATGATGAGCTGATCAAAAGCCAGGTGTGTGTAGGTGCTGAGCACAGAGCCTTCTTCTGGCTGAGGGAAGCATCATGGGTGTGGAACATGTTCTCTACAGAATCTTCAGCCCTGAAAATAGTGCTATCAAAACAGTGCTTCCACATAATACATATAGTAGATCTCTCTCTCTTTCCATCTCTCTCTCTCCTTCTTCCTCTCTCTACCAACACACTCATGAATAAATCAAGCAACCAACAAATTAATCTAGACTCTCAAGAGAAGGATACCTGTACAGTGTGTTCCACATGTTATACACATCAGTGTCTTTGTGTAAGTTGTAGATCTGCAAGAGGATGAGATCTAAAACAAAGCTCTTACAATTAGGATGCTGCCATAATTGAATAGGGTGCTTTACGAAGAGGTGAGCCCTCTATGAGGTGCTCATTCATTCAGTCATTCAGTCATTCAGTCATTGCAAAGCATGTTCATCACAATTCAGATGCTGTTCTAGGTTCTAGAGGAAAGGACACTATTAAGTAGACCTGGTTCCTACTCTCAATGAGCTTAGTTGCTGGTGGGGAGAAGAGATGGACAGCTCATGAGCAGTTACCCCACAGAGTGATATATATATATACTATATATATATATACTATAGAGGGAAGTGTAGGGTGCTGTGGAAGCCCAGTGGGATTCATGGGAAGTGTTCTAGAAGTAACATAAAAGCTGAGATGTAGATAGTTAGGCAAAGGGTAGGAAGGAGAGACAATGCTCTTGCACTGGCAGGAAAAGTATGTGGAACTCCCTTGGTGAGAATGAGCATGCCACAGATGGAACTTTTACATTTTGTAAAGTCACCCAAGTCCTGAGGTTAGAGCTAGGTCAACTGGAACAGGACCTGCCAGCTTGGTCAGGAAGTTTGGGGCTTATCCTCAGGGCAACAGGGAATTACTGAAGGGCACACTGTGATCAGATCATATCAACAGAGGTACTTCTGGCTGCCCATGTGGCTTGGAGTCCAGCAGGAAGGGGAGCAGTAGAAATCAGCAGTGGAGCACGTGGGAGATGCAATGAGTTCTGTGTGCAATGAGGAATAGTAAATGAGCTTGAATGATGTGGCAGAATGTTGTTTCAGCCAGATGTTGCTTTAGTGTCTCAGGTGAGGAGTGGGGAAATGGGACAAGTTGGCAGTACAAGGTCCTTCCAGCCCTGAGGGATTTGAGGATTCCGAGCTGTGTTGCTGGATGCAGATTTTTCAGGGCTCTCCCAGTTGATTTTGCTTCTGCACTCCAAGTATACAGGCACATTCTTCATTATTGGGTATGCCTATTTGTACAGAGCTTCTGGGCTTGCTAGTCTAAGACACCTACTTCCTTCCGTGTGTCAGACATGGCAGGTCTGACCTCCTGTGGAAACAATTAAGCTGTTTTGGCAGTGAAAGACCACTACTCCCTTTGATGTGTGTTTAATAGAGGAAAATGTCCTTTACTTTTAAAATCCCAGATCAACATTTGGCATTCCCAATACTATGGGATTTGGCAGCTTTCTCTTTGAATGGAATCCTGTGGGCCACCAGGGGCCGTCATTCCCTTAGCTCCATAGCATGGCCTCACCCTTCCACCTACACAGCCCTGCCATCTTCTAGTTTAGTCCATATCTCTGCCAACTCTCTCATTTTTTCCAGACTTGTTTCTTCTTCGTATCTTTTACTCCTAACTATTGAGCCACCAAATCTCAGAATAGAGAGTGGATGATAGAGCAATTCTCAGATTCACTCATTTTACCAATAGGAGAACTCAAATAAAGGAAAAGATTTGAATGTGGTCTGATACTATAAAAGACAAATATTCATGTGTTTTGCATCCAAAAGCAGTACCTACTGTATACCAAAGACTCTATTAGGCTCCTAGTAGCCACCTCCAATGAAAGATAACCAAGATCCACACCTGGGTCCACCCCATTAATGATACCTCAGTCTTTTTGGCAAAGAAGTCACCATACTTAGGGAGGTCCCTGGATTCCAAACTCTCATCACAAAGGTGGACTAATGATCTGGGAGGCTCTGTAAAGGACAGATAATAGCATAGCTTTGGGTTCATGTCCCACCTACACTTATCCAGGTGTTTATCACACAATCTCCCTAAGCTTCAGGTTTGCACCTTTAAATGGCAACTGAAATTTCTGATTTGTAAAGTTGTTGACATGATTTAAAGTGAGCTTATGTTAAGCACTAAGCCTTGGTTTCCTGGTGTTTAGGCAAGACTGAGATGCCACTTGTGGAAGAAGTGTATTTTTCCACGTCTTGGGCCTGGCCTGCTGTCCCTTACCGTGCCTATCTCTGCTTTTTAGATTGGACCCAATGTCATAGTGACCTGCACAGAAGGCAAGTGGAACAAGCAGGTGGCGTGTGAGCCAGTGGACTGCGGTGTCCCCGATCACCACCATGTCTATGCCGCCGCCTTCTCCTGTCTGGAGGGCACCACCTTTGGCAGCAAATGTTCCTTTCAGTGCCGTCACCCTGCACAGCTGAAAGGTATCAAGAGTCTTTGCTTCCGCTCGGCCTTTCTTTGTCTGTAGGAAACCTAGAGACTACTTCTAGGCCCTCCTTCTAGGTCTCAAACACCAAGGGTTGGGCCAGGTTATGTCTGTGTTCTTGACTTCTTTCCACCTATTGTGTTTATATAAACTGCTCCACCGTGCAGCTAAGGAAAAATATGTGGATAAAACTGTCAGTGAAATACATTTCAAGACTGAAAATCTTACTGGGGGTGATGGAGAGGGTAGAGAAAGCTACATTTGATACTGATGCAACTAGTTCACTCTGCAGAATTAGGGCCCAGTAAGCCAGAGGAGGTAAATGACATTTGTATTTCCAGTAAGGACAAAACTGAACCTTAAAGTTTAAAGAATCTGCCCAAGGCTGCTGCATTTATGGTGGGGGGCCATGTTTTAGCAAAGGTCCATCTTTCTACGATGCCAAATGTTACTCTCAAAAAGGAGGCTACAGGGAGGAGAGGTGCAGGTATGGACAGGAGTCACGTGGCATCCTTTTTGAACTGGGCACTAGGGGTGTGGAGGAGAATACAAAAGTTGACATACTGGCAAAAGGGTCACATTTCGGAAACTCCTGAGAGATTGATCTGGAGGTTCTAGAATGCCAGGACTAGAAGAGCTCTTGGAGCTCACCAAAAATAGGTGGAAATATTGAGAATGTAGATTCCAATGGGAGAAGGGGCAGGAAATTGTACAAAAATCACACAAGTTAGGAGCACTATTAGGATGAGTGCTTCTGGCTTCTAATTGATCTTGTGTAGGATTTTTCTCATTATACCTGATTCTGGAGGTATTAGGACCCTCCCCTTCTTGTGATTTACCAGAGGAAACATCACTTCCATAACAGGTGCCTACAATAATACCCATCAGAGCATAGGGCTGCACTTATGGGTCCATCATGATACAGAGTGCATGAGTGGGGCTTTCTGAGATGTGAGGATCCTCAGGCGAAGTCTGCAAATGCCTTTACACTTAGATATACTATTGTGTGTGCTGAACTTTCAGGCATTTTGATGATTACTGAACACTAATAGTTTCACCAAGTTTTCAAGGAAACACATGAGTACAAAATATGAGTAAGCTCAAATGACATGAGACTCTTGAGTGGAGTGGCTGTGTTTAATGTCTTTCCATATTGCTATTGGTGATTCCTGGACCTGACTTACAGTAAGACTCAATAAAATGTATTGGCTGGCTGGCTGGATATACTGATGAAATAAATACCACAAGGCATGTTTCTTTTAAGAAATGAAGCAAAGACCCATCAATCTTACTAAATTGGCCCAAAAGAAAGGCAGGAAGTGCATCTGGGACACATTCCATAGTGCCTCTCCTTTTTAACCCAACAAGATTTGAATAAAAAAGTTATATAGACATTTCATTTGAGCTATTATGAAGATTTAGGTCAGAGAGAGGTGAAGGAACCAGTGGGAATTGGAAAGCCTCCAACTTTCAGGCCATCCAAGCTCACCGCTTGGCCCCATTTGCCAATGGCGTACAGCATGTATTAATAACTCCTGACAAGGAAATCACACTTCTGTCCATCAGGGCCCTTGGGAAAAGGAGGTGTATAAATTAGCATTGATTATCATAGCTGTCACTGTGGCAATTATAACTCTTTAAGTGATTCAGGCCCATGCTGCCGTTGCTTCTCTGCTGACTATGTTTGGGAGAAGGGGACCCTGCTATACCAATGAAACCTCAGGAGGACCATCGCCTTGAGCTTTCCTACTGCATTGAGAATACTGAGAAGCATTTCTTTCATTGGCACACTGACCCTGTAGGCCAACTGCCGTCTCTGCAGCTTGGTTGTCCACATTCTCTGGTATGCAAGTTCCTGTTCTGAGGCTTCTTACTGGGTCTTCATGCAGCACGAATTCACACATCCTGCTACTTCTTGTTGCTTTCACCTTGCTTGACTCCTTTATCAAGGCTAAGAGTACAGGTGAACAGAACAACATCTTCCTCATTATTCAGTTGCTTCTTTTTCCATACCTGTTCCTTCGTCCTCTCTTTGTGGCATGGGTTACACTGAAGGAGCAATAGCTTTAGAGTTAGCCCAAGTTTCTAATCGTGGCTCTATCCCTTTCCAAAGTTTTGGATTTATATGAGTAATTACAGATTTATGAGGTTTCATATCCTCACTCATAAAACAGGCTTGTGGGTGCTCACTCTGAATGTTCATCTTAAGGGTTACAAGAGGGGGTATATGTGAAAGATCAGAGCTAAATGAAAGTGAGAGAAAGTGCTTAATACATACTAATTTTCTTCACAAAACACCCTATAGAGACCTGAGCAGTGTCTGATCTGCCAGCCACTGATCTGTTTGACCTGAGAGGCCCTTGACACTGGAAATATGGAACATGGTCCATCTTCCATGTTTTTCTCAGACCACAAGGTTGATGCCTTCAGAAGAATAACTACCATGTGGGATAAACTACTGAGTGTAGTGCCTAGGAAGCTAGTTTTACACAGGCAGAACAAACCCACCTCACCCATATATCCCTGGTAAATTTTTCTCAACCATCCTGCAATATAATTGAAATTCCAACCTGTCTTCAAGATTTAGGCAAAATATCCTGAGAATTCACCATCTTAAAGTTATCTCAGCCAAGGTTCTTTATCAAATGAGCATAGAAAGAACCTACAAAAATGCATGAGGGGAAAAAACCATCTCAAACTCTAAAAAGAAAACTTGAAAATCAAAATCATAAATGTTTAATCAAATGTCTAAAAATATGTTACTTACATCACCTAGTTAACCCCAACTCAATTCAACCATGTTGTGAGCATTTAATATTTACAGGGAATGCATCTTTCAAAGTAAGCATGCCCAGATTCTACAAGGATCTTTGTAAGAGGTTGTCGCAGTTGCTACCTTAGCTTTGTCCTTGGATTTAAAACTTGATCTGTTCACCACTTTCCATAACACACCCATTTGAATTGAGTCTTTTCAGATTTCTTAAGTTTTACTGAAGAAGAGAGGAGGGCTGGGTGGATGTGGAAAATGATCGCATCCTACACTATTCAGCATTCAACCCTTTGGACTGCTCGGGTGAAATAGTATAACTTGTGTTTTCCACTTGCATGTGGCCATCTCTGCCTGCGTAGAAGTGTCCAAGTTATCAGGCTCTTTCTTCCCTTTCTTAGGAAGGATTCTTCATTATTATCCCTAAAAATGACTACTTCTTAGAATTCTCTTTGCTTTGTGTCTAGCACTTGGAATAATAATCAGGGGTCCCTGGTAAAGAAATTTGGAAGTAAGGGACCTCATTCTGTGCAGAGCAGAGAGGATGAGGATGATGAAATCCTATTGTGGGAATAGTCCTTGATTTGATGATCCTCTAGTGGTCTAAATTCCCAGCTCCATAAGATTTTCTGTAAATAGTGATTCTTCCTTGGCCATGCTCAGGGGTAGAAGCCAGAGAGTAGACCAAAAAGCTCAACTTATGAGTCAGATGGGCCTGGATAGAGCTTCAACTCTAGTTTGAAGAACCATTAGCTTGGCCCTGTAGGGTCTTGGCTTTCTCCCTTAAAAATGGGATTAATCATAAACTGAAATTTTGTTAATAGAAGGATCAAGGAGGTGGTGTAAATAATTTTCCCTTGGTTAACTCCAGGAACTCAATGAGAGACAATGATAGAATTCCATGCAAACATGTAGGGAGGGGAGAAGGAAAATTAAACTTCATTGTTTCCACTTTGATTAGTGCTGTTTGACTGAGAAAATGATATACTTCCTGAGGATATCAAGCCCGATTCATATGAACTCTTTACCACCTGATCATTCCTGGACCCTAGAAACATGCTTTCAGAACTAAAATCTGCCACATTTGCAGACAGTCAGAGCAAGATTTATTTTCCTAGTTTCAAAAGATGAGTAAATGAAGAGGCAGGAACTCAGAAGGATAGGATCCTAATTTCCAGTATCACCACCCTTACCTTCTGCTAGGAGCTCCAACTTATACATGCTTTTGCTTTGTGACCTGAGTCATCTTTTCCAGGAAACACAAGTAGAGTATAAGGACAGGGTACAGAGAATTAACAAAGATCACAAAAAGTCTCTTGAAAAACCAGTTACCGCTATGCACCACAAGAAGTCAGACCCGCTAGGAGCTGTGAGGTGCAATGTAAAACATGCTTGAGTGATCAAAACTCTCCAGTTGGCATGTAAATCTACCAGGGTCTTTACTGGTTTAATGCTGCTTACCAATTTCTTGGTACTTTGTGCTCACCCCTTTTGTGGACAGAGCATGCGTCCATGACCAGAACAAAATATCTCAGTGCAGTAAGCTTCCTTTAACTGTAGAGATCAATGCCAAGAGCATGTGTAAAGGGCATGGATCTGCATCTACCATACTTGCTTTCCTCAAGGCGCTTAGTCAGGTCAAGTAGCAGCTATAGCTGCGGCGGGGGAATTTCGATTCTGTATGGTTCACTGTCTGCTTTTCTTGAGTTGCTGTGGAGGTAGGGGACATATCCATGGTCCTGAATCACCAATTCTTCCTTTAACATGCTGCTTCTTTTGACACTGTCAACTCCTAATGACAGTACTTTTCTCCAGAATGGTTTTAGTTTACACTTTATCTCCTGATTAACATTCTGCAGTTTTTCTGTTACCTTGTCTAATAAGATCTAAGGCTTTCACTCCACAATTCACAATTTCCATAGGTGATACAGTGTAGTTTTCAAGATCCCCCAACACTCTGTCCACAGATATTTTATCCTTCCTGAGCAATTTAGATATGTTCCCTATAGCTTTTATAGCTCCCCTTACTCTTAAGCCTAAATTATGCTTAGACTCGAAACACTGACCATCCCAATTCCCAAAGCAATGAAATAAAAAGAACTTTGTAGTCCCTGGCTTCTGGATGCCTCTCTGCTTCTGTGAAAGCCAAATGAATTGCCTTGCCGCACCCTTTACTCACTTACCGTGATGTCAAAATGTCTATAGCTGGCAGTATTACACTTTATCAATGTAATATTTTCTGTGAAGTTTACAGACACTGAAATGCCTTGTGCTACCCAGATGAATCACAGTGACAAGGGAGGAAATGGGAGAAAATGAAGGGGGATAGAAGAAGCAGCAAAACCCATACGAAACTGCAAAGTACTTGCTTCTTTTTTCTTTTGCTTGCTTTATTTTTGTCTTTAATACTTGCCACCTACTAACACACTCAACATTATAATTCACTTTTAGGGTAGTTTATTGTGTTTTTCTTTATAGAGCTAGATTATAAGCAACAAGAGGGCAGGGTTATCCTTGTTTTGTTTTGTTTTATTTTGTTTTGTTTGATGTTTTCCCCATAACATATAAACTTGTTAAAGAGGAAAGGAGAGAGGGAAGCAGGAAACAAGTTTAGCATACAATGAGCTTGACAGTACTTTTATGGGCCCTTTTTGTAAATGTTATTGCATTTAATCTTCTCAACATATGAAAGTCAGGAGCAATTGTTTTCTTTCCGAGAATAAGAGAGTTGAGGTTGGCTCTCCCAGAAAATAAGAGCTCTGCTGAGCATATATAGCCAACTTTCCATTAAAAACAACCATCTCTGTGGTTAGACAAAATTGGTTTCAAAGTGTGGTGTTTTTTTTTTCTTCCTATAAGACAGGCTAGAAGAACTTGGTAAAGTCTTTTCATTCTGAGTCCCTTTGTCTAAATGAATATTGTCATACAAGGCACACCATTTATTGCAGAATGAATGAGATTGTATATGAGAAGCACTCAGAACATAGTACCTCCTCAGTAAATGCTGGTTTCCTCCTTATCACTTCATCCCTCCAAGTTCAACTCCAAGGGCCCTGGTTGTCAACACCACTCGGTTCTAACCAGGGAAGGAAAGATTTCAGCAGAGAAATACTCATTTCAGATCCTACTCTAACTGTCTTGAGGAGTTTTGGGCAGGCTATGCCTTGATAATATATGAGCTGGCAGGGAGAAGCTCTCTTTTACTTTTATTTTTGGCATTCCCCATCAGGCCAGTGTCCCAATAGCAATCAGCACTCTGTCCGAGCTGGCGTGAGCTGTGGGGTAGCACTGCTCTCTTGGCTTATTTGACAGAGCTTTTCTGACCACTGCGGCCTCAACAGAAAACCCAATCTCTTCCTAGCATGACGCTGTCACTTGCAGGTCTGGATAGGACTAGGACAGATGCGAGGGTCCAGCCCAGGGGATGTGGCTGCTTAAGGTCACACAGCACATTGATTCCAGAGTTGGAGTGGATTCTGATAGGAGCTGGCTCACGCTGCCAGCTGTCAGACACAAGTCCCTTCCTCTCAGCAGAGGGGATGGATGGAAGGGTAATGAAGTCTCTTTTCTGGGCAGCATAAGAGGTTTAGAAGCTGTGTTAAACAGCTTCCAATTACTGCAACAAAATACCTGATACAGACAATTTAAAGGAAGGATGTTTTATTTGGGCTTATAGTTTCAGAGGTTTGAATCCTTTGCCATCCATGGTGGGCTGGCCCCCTTGATTTTGGTCCCTTGGTAAAGCAGAAATATGGTTGAAGAGCCTGGTGAAGAAAAGCTGCTCATGTTCTGGCAGCTAGAAAGCAGAGAGGAAGGGAAAGAACCAGAGAGGAAGGGGATGGGGACCCACTCCCTTCATTTAGGTCCCGCCTCCTGTTTTCATCACCTCCAAATAATACCATCAAGAGTAATCTTACCAGTGAGGTAATTCAGACAAATCAGAGCTTTCATGATCCAGACATTTCCCAAAAGCCCATCAGCAACCAAGTCTTCAGAACGATGAGCCTTTTGGGGTGCCACTTTGGATTTCAGCCTTAATACAAGGGTTTTATTTCACTGTAGCAATGGAGACAATTCACCCCCCAGTTTTTTATGCCTTCTCTTCTTTGTGGCAGCTTTCTGGAGCTCCCTAGGATCCTCAGTTATAAAGGTGGAAGACGTTGGAGTTCTACCTGAGAAATTTTCTTGGTGGTCAAGTCAGCTAAAATCTGGACAACCTATGTGTTAGGTCAGGTGTCAAGAGCTTCCTTGTCTGATAACCCTGCCACTTGTGTCTCCCAGGCAACAACAGCTTTCTGACCTGTATGGAAGATGGGCTGTGGTCCTTTCCAGAAGCCTTGTGTGAGCTCATGTGTCTCGCCCCAGACCCAGTACCGAACGCAGACCTGCAAACAGCCCGCTGCCTTGAGAACAAACACAAGGTGGGATCCTTCTGCAAGTACAAGTGCAAACCCGGATACCACGTGCCTGGATCCTCTCGGAAGTCAAAGAAGTAAGTAGAGGCCGGAAACAAAATCACAAGTTCTGCGAAGGAACAGAGTCAGATTTGACCTTTGGAAGGTGACACTCATTGCTTTGCTGCCCATAAGTCATCCCATTCTGTTTTGTGGGAAGCACACATAACTGCAGATTTGGGTCCAGCAGAAGTAACTTTAGCTCTGTCTTGGCTGCAAACTGGCTGTGTGGTCTCAGACAAGTGACTTCAGTTCTCTGGCATTTCTCAGCAGCCAAGTGAAGATGATAAGAATAATTTCCACATCAGGTTCTTTAAAGAATCAATGAAGATATATGTACAAAGTGGTTATAAAGATGCTTTCTACAAGCCAGCTTGGTGGCACATTCTGGAAAGCTGAGGCAGAAGAACCACAAATTACAGCCCAGCTTGGGCAACTGGGCCATTTGGCAAGGCCTCGTCTAAAAATAAAAATTAAAAAGGATTGTGACTGTGTTCGGTGTGAAGACCCTGGATTCAGTCCCCAGTACTGAAAAAGAAAGAGCCTTGTGCATAACAGTTGTTTAATACATAGTGGGTGTTCGTATAATTGCTGTGGCAATACCTATCAGAACACTCTGGAAGAAAGGGAGAAATCAATAAGTTGGTTGGGCTTGAGTTTCATCTTAACCCACATACAGCTGAGAGAGTCTGACCTTCGTATCTGCCTCTAGGGAAGGAGTTCTGTGAATGCTTTACCCTTAACCCCTACACGTGCTGCCAACCTCGGATGTAACAGGAAGGAATCAAGGGTAGAAAGAGCAGTGGGGCATCGTGATAGTATGTTGGGAGGGTGTGGCTGTACCCATTTGGACTTCAGCTGTCTCTTCTCTCATATCTTTTTTGAAGACGGGCCTTCAAGACTCAGTGTACCCAGGATGGCAGCTGGCAGGAGGTAGCTTGTGTTCCTGTGACCTGTGACCCACCTCCACCCAAATTCCACGGGCTTTATCAGTGCACCAATGGCTTCCAGTTCAACAGCGAGTGTAGGATCAAGTGTGAGGACAGCGACACCTCCCAGGTAAGCCTCCTTGAGCCTGAGATGAATAGTCTGGTCCCTCTCCTCTCTGCTCACCAAAGACCAGACTATACCATAACAACCACTTTCTCCAGCCTGCTATCTACCTAGGCCTGGACTGTATAACTGCAAGATCACCAGTTGGCTTCTTTTGCAATTTCTCTGAGCTTCATTTCTCTCCCTAGAACATCACACTTTAGTTGTTCAGAGAGCTTTGGATTTGAGCATGTTTTAGCATGGGAACCTTACATAGGAAATTACACATGGGTTCCCAATATGTGAAATTAACCACTTAAGTTACTCTGACCAGAGACTTTTTAACAGTTCTCTTAGTTTTCTATCACTATCACCACCCACGTTGGTTCTTGAAATATTTAAGGTCCCAGGACTACTATTTTCTTTAGACATCAGCCGGCTCCTGAGAGAAAATATCCATATTTAGCCAAGAAGTACAGTTTTGAGTATCCTGTGGAAGAAAGAGGTTCAGGAGGAGCTGGGAGGGTTTGAACTTTTCTCCAGGCATGTGTCATTGACTGAAAATCCTGCCTAGTTCTACTGAGGAGTTCTGTGGAGGGATTTTTCTAAATCCCCACATCTAGCATTCACTACGCAATAGGATAGGCAGGGAATCAAGAACTGGAAAGGAAAATGAAAGATAGGAGGAACCATCATTTAAAGTCCATACCCCAACCCTACACTCATAGATATGTGAAGATCATCATCCGGTGAGGCCAGATTTCACCTCACTAAGCTCCGCCACTGGTCTCGTCTTTAGCCAGCCTCAATTGTCTCTGTTACACAGTGTGTGGCTCTAAGTGCCAGGTGCTGCTACCCACCATCCTCAATGCCTTCTTCTCCCTTTCCTCACATCTAAGCCACCCTCAATTCCTATTTTCCCTTCAAAACATCTCCTAAAGCTGGTCCTTTCCATTCCCAGGGTCACCAACGTGACTCTAATCACGATGATCTCTTTTCTGAGCCACCATAAAGTTTCCTGGTTGTTTCTGTCTTGATTGTGACAATACCTTTGCTTATTCCTCAGGATGCAGAATCCCCCTTCCCCTGTGGGCAGCATCCCAGACCTCTTGCCATCCCCAGGGGGAGCGGATGCCCTCTGCCTTGCATCCTCTGTCTTAACCAGTCCCCTCACTTCTTCCAGTTGCCTGAGTCTTCATCATGCTGCACCCCTTGACCTGTGGGGTCCCCTTCCTCTTTCTAATCATCCCTCTCCCTGCATCCCTCTTTGGGATCCCCACTTCTCAGCACTGGCCACATGACCTGGCCATGGTCTGAGTGTTTCATGGCTTCATAAAACTTCACTGAGTTTTTAATCAGCCGGCTGCTGTCACTACTCAGGACAGTGCCTGGCACTTAGTAGGTCCTCATGAAGTTGCAGCTGGATTAAGGATGAGAGAAAGAGATGAAATGAACATCAAAATCAATTTTCTCACTGTCTGGATGAGAAAAGCAAGACTCCCAGAAATTCCTCTGCACCCGGGGTGGCACAGTGGCATCAGCTCAGTCTGAGTCTGCACGCAGGTGCCCCCCCACCGGGTCTGAAAACCCTTGGCCATGCACATGCAGGCTCCTGGGGACACCCATGGGTGCTGGTGCATACTCTTGATCACTGCCAAGGCACAGGAACTTGTGCTGGAACAAGCAAAGACCTGAGAGGACCGTGATTTCTTCCAGCCTGATCAGCTTCCTTCTCTCTCCCTTACATAAAACTGTTGCTAACAGTTACACAAACAGCCGAGCCAAATAATCTTCTGGCCGTGGCCGTGCTATCAAACCGAAACCCAGTCTGCCTGGGGCCTGCCAGGGAACTTTCATGGCCAGTTTGTATTTAAAGGATAGGAAAATGTAAATTTATCAGACGACTCAAGCAGCTCTGTTTGGCAGTGGGTGGTGAGGCTGGACACGAAGAAGCAGGGTATTTCTCGTCTGCTGAAAGAATGAGGGGGAGCATGCCAAGCAGGCTCCTAACACAACTGACGTTTCTAGTCTGTACTGAAAGTGAATTTCCCCTACCCTCAGACCAGGGCCCTGAGAGCCAAAGCTAGTATTCACCTCAGATTCCCTCTCCCGGCCTGTAAACACGGCAGAACCATAGGGCCCAGAGCATTTCTAGTCAAAGGGCTTATAAGGAGCGGGACTTCTTTGTTTTCCAAACAAGTTCCAGATCCTGGCAGGAAAGATAGAGTTTATTGTAGGGGAGAGTCATACACTTCCTCTGACTGCCACTAAAAGCTAATGAATAAATAAAATCTCCACTTCACTCGTTTCATGGGAGGTAGTATAATGCTGGATCTGGAGCCTCAGTCCAAATCCTGGCTTCACCACTTAGTAGCTGGAGAATAAGTTACTTAACACTTCAAGCTTTAGTTTCCTCGTGTATAAAATGGGGGAGGAGACCAGGAGTGGTGGCACACGCTCGTGATCCCAGCACTCGGGAGGCCGAGGCAAGAGGATCATTGCGAGTTCAAGGCCAGCCTGGACTACAAAGTGAGCTCAAGGCTGGCCTGAACTGCATAGCGAGACCCTGTCTCAAAAAAGATAAATAAATAAATAAATAAGTAAGTAAATAAAATAGGGGAGGGCAAATAATACTACTTTCCTCAGAGTTTACTAGTGAGGGTTAGGTGAGGCAAAGAAAGAAGGTATAGCTAAGGATATTCTTGGAGTTGGGCAGGGTGCAACCTATGTTAGCAAACACGGCAGTCTGGGGAAGGCATAAATTAGGTAGCCTGCTTTGGTAGTTGTTCCAGTGGAAAGAATACCGATGCTCCAAAGGACAGGGAAACAAAGGATACACATTCAAAGCCAGCGCCCTGCTGGCTAGCTCCAGAGGGTCTGAGAAGGGGCATTTGCCTTGCCCAAGGGCAGCAAGTGGTGAAACCTGGTCGCTTGTGCAATTCAGCCTGGACCAGTACTGCCCAGTGCCCAATGCTCTGCTGAAAGCATTTTGTATCTGTGCTGTGCTACTGGCTGAGTGTGGCTGTGGGACACTAGAAACATGGTTATGGTGACTCAGTGACTAAGTATTTAGTAGTGCTTAATTCATTGAATTCAAACTTCAGTGTAAATAGCTACACTTATACCTAGGATATCTGACAGCTCATCCCTAGCATTTACGATGTCCTTGTCCTTTTAGACCCAGATGGGGAAATGTAATAATTACCCCTCCCCAACTCTTTGAGTGTTTTTATGGGCACCAAGCTGGCCTTGCACACTTTCTCTCTTTTTCATAACTCATAATAAATCCTTGAGGAAGAAACAATCTCTTGGGTTTACAGATGCAGATAGGAGGCCAGAGGAGGCTAAGTACTGGCCCACAAGTTGGTTTCCAGTGGGAGGCAAGGGCAGCCCTTCTCTTCCCAGTGCCCCTAAGCATTTCCAGGGCAGCCTGCTGGCACAGGGCAGGGACTCTGTGGACAGGCAGCCAGAGGTGCTAATTGTCTCAGGGCTTAATCCAGCTCAGACACTCTCGAGCTGTTGGAGGAGATAACTCAGGCCCACCCCCCAGCGAGAAGCACCATGGGGCTTTTGCGAGTGATTAGGGGAACAGCCAGTTTGGGAATGGGGACAGGGCCTGCAGAGATGCCTGCAGCAGGGAAGGACAAAGGCTGCACATGTTTTGTGTGCTATAACTAGACTCAGTCATTAGCAAGGACATCTGCCCTCTGCATCAGGTTGGGGCAAACGCTAAGGGTACCCAGGTGGAGCTCTAAAGGGCGTCCTGAACATCTACAGGCTCCAGAGTGTGGTGTGCAGAACACATAGCACATGCAAAGGTGAAGAGGCAGGCAAGAAAGAGAGGCACGCTGTGGAGAAGGTGGTTTGCCTAGAGGAAGGACCAAAAAGATCAGGAGGCGGGGCTAGAAATGTCCTCCGGGTTCTATCACAGGAGCCCAGAAGTCCTGGCCCACTGCAGGCTAAGGTTTCCAGACAGTGGATACCCTATTTTTGTCACGGTAGCTTTAGCAGAGGGAGGGAGAGGGAGAGGGAGAGCAGGGAGGCAATAAGACCAGTACCTTATGCTCCCACCTTCTGTGATGAGGCTCCCCCATTTGAAACTCCCTGAGCAGATTCCAGTGAGCTCAAATACATTCTCTGCTGCAAACCCAGCTCTCCAGCCAGCTCTGGCCCACGTAGTGCTGAGGTCTGCAGCCCTTCAGAGGCTGGAGGCCAAATGCATCATCAGCCCAGGCCAAGGCTCCAGGAAATTGGGGTCAATTTCCTACTCCCCTGAGGGCCCAGCAGAATCATGGGGCCTAGAGCCTGGGGCTCCGACAGGGAGAGTCTGGGTTCTCTAAAGCCACGCGGAGCTCCATAAATTTGCCAGAAGCTCACACAGAACTGCTGAGTGTGACCCTGTAAGTCACCCACAACTGCATGCTCAGGGTGAGCCACCTTCTCCAGTGGCCGGAGAGGCTTCTCCTCGCAGTCACACATCTTGCTGCCGACCTAGGAGAGACCCGGAGAGGGGCCCTTTTTCCTTCTGAATCCTGTCTCCTTGCAGCTGTTTTCCCAGACAGGGCAGCTCCAGCCTACATCAGCCCTTTGAAAGAGTTTATTCATTTCTTCACGCACTCACCCATCATTTATTTCCTTTTTTGTTCATTTCTCCATTTACTAACTTATGCATTACGTCCTTGACTATGCCATCTTTACTTGTCCTGTTCATTCAAAATTGAGTCCATCACCCTCCACCTACTCATCTCATCTTTGGTTGAACAACTAGGACTCGAATGAACAAGACTAGCTGTGGAGGGATGAAGGAAGGGACCAAACGGGAAGGCATTATTGAAGGGTCGAGCACACACAGATGGACAGAGTGCTGTCCTGGGCCCGAAGGAGCTCATGACTAGTGGGGAATGATGGTAACGAAGACATAGCGCTGCAGATGTGGGGCTTGTGCACTGCGAAGAATCAGAGCAGGAAGGGTCGTGCAAGACAGTGCCTTCAAACCTGCAGGAAGTGGAAGCCAAGGCTGAGGGGTGGCAGTGCTGTGGAGAGCAAGGGGCAGGAACATAAGGCAGAGTAAAGCTGGGGTTTGGGTGCAAGAATCTGAATGGAAGCTGCGGGTCAGAGGGAGTCACTGCACAGTTTCTGGTTGCAGGAGCGCAGTCAGCTCTCTGGGTGTGTATGGAGTTTCTCTTCTTACTCTAAGCCTCAAAAAGGGATAACAGGTATGGCTTGTTCTGAAATCTTCCAGAAGATGCACCTCTACTCTGAGGCTACCCAAGCTCTCTCAAGTTTCCTTTAGGGTACCTTCCAGACTCCTTAGGGTCGTGCCTAAGCGCCCATACTGCATCCGATTCACCCTCTGCTTTCCTTCTTCCCTTAAGCCATAGAAGCAGAACCACCTGGGTCTCTGCAGCGATCACTGCTTCTGCTTTCCCACACCCTTCCATCTTCCAGGAATGCCCTTCTCTTCCCTTTGTGCCCATAATTCTCCCAGTTCTTGAACACTGTTTCTCCAAGCATCACTTCCTCTAAGAGGCCTTCCTGGATTGAGCCTTCAGAACCGTTGATCCTCCCCAAGGGCTCACAGCACTGACCCACCTGCGCCTGGTGTCACTGAGCACAGGAATATGATGGGGAGTGGCTGCGACTGTGCCTGCCTTTCCTGCCACCTGACTGGGCCAGATGTTTGCTCCTTCTGCTCCCCCAGAGCTGGGCACAGAAAGGGCACTAAGGAAGAGTTCTTGAAGTCAGTGGCAGTTTTAAAACACTTGCAAAGGAGGACCTCCCACTGGGATCTTGGAGATTAGAAAAGGCTGGTAAAGGGGAGTGATGGGTCTTTAAGCTGCACTTACCTAATACTTTGCAGAAGACTGAAAAATAACACACAGCATACACTAAAGAGTTTGGGGCATACAGAGAGAAGGACTCCCATACCACCCTCTTGGTGCCATTACTGATGGAAGGGAAGGGAAGGGAAGGGGAGGGAAGGGAAGGGAAAGGAAGGGAAAGGAAGGTAAAGCACCCCTTAGAATAGAAAGCTTCTTATCTGGACCAGGTTGCCTAGTTAACACAAGGCACAGCCCTGAGATGAGATGCTTTGTGCACCTGTGCCTCTGTGAATAGCCCCAGGACACACACTTTTACCAGGTGTGTAAGTAGGCAACCATATGGCTGATGGGCAACAACAATAATAAACAATTCAAACCTAAGCTGTACTTGCCTTAATTATAATTTTCTGAAAGATCACTGGGCTAAGATTTAGGAAACCTGAGAGATAGGCTGTATCAAAAGCCTGAGATCTATTTCTTTTTCTATTCTGAGTCCTTAGTTTCCCCATCTGTAAAATGGAGATACTAACAACATCTCTCTCAGGATGACCGTCAGCCCTTGGTAAGAAGTCACTTAGGAACCCCTTCCTGAGCTGTGAGCATATGAGAAGTTGATTCTTCTTTACTCTGAAAGGCCTACCCTGTGGGCAGCCTTGTCCTCACTGTGTTTCTGTGGTGTTCAGGGACGAGGAAGCAACATCATCCACTGCCGGAAAGATGGCACCTGGAGCGGCTCCTTCCACATCTGCCAGGAGATGCAAGGCCAGTGCTCAGCCCCAAACCAGCTGAACAGCAACCTTAAACTACAGTGCCCCGACGGCTACGCCATAGGTAGGAGGGGCCTCGTGGGGCAGTGGGAAGCTCATATCCTTCCGGGAACTCGGGGCTGCTGCTCAGGTGTGGCGCTGAGTTTCTCTCTGTGTGAGGCTCTGCACAGGCAGGAGGGAGGCAGAGGAGCAAGGCTGTACCCCGTCTTCCTAGAGAGGGAGTCAGACATGGGGCATTGGCAAAGTTATGAGGATAGAAAAGCTGCCAGAGGTGAAGTGGAACACTGGAGGCACCCAAAGGAAGAGATGCTTACCCAGTGACTTCAAAGAGCTTGTCATCCAGAAATTCCACGTCAGAGAGAAGAACACCTATAGCTAAGGAGCAGGAGATGTGAAAGTATACCTCCTGTTTAGGGAAGCCACAAGGATCCAGTGTGGCTGGTCTTGTTATTAATTGTAAAATTTGCATCATACTAGGCATTTCCGAGGACCTCCTATGAGTCAGACTTGCCACGAACACTTGAAGGACATTACTTCCTTCCTTTTCAATAACCTTTAACACATGAGGCAATTGAAACTCAAAAGGGGTCATGGAGTATGCACCAGCCCCGTCCTGAGACCGGTCCTATTCCACAGCCTGGCTCCTCTTCATGACCTCTCAGCTCCCTCCAGAGGAGGACAAATTGCATTTTCCAAATACTGTTTGTGTAGTGATAGAAATCCACACAGTGGGGAGTGACAGCCTGGGATCTGACGCCAGGTACTTGCCTGGTTTGAACCAGGCATCCGCAAAGCGATGCATTAATCATCAGCTGCAAGGCTTTCTGGGGAACTTGAAGTGCACGGGGCCTGACCTCATTTAAAGGTGGTAATGCTGACCCCTCCAGCTGATTCTCTAATTGACCATGATAAAAAGGCCAAGGAATTGAAAGTCCTTTCTCATGGCCAGTGTGATTTATGAGTAATTGCTAGGGCTGTCTGGTGCAGGTTATCTGAGTATGAACAGAGCCAGCATGCTCCTTACTTGGCACCCCAAGTGTTGTCACTACAGGTCCTGCAGCAAAGCCTGGGCTTGGAGGGTGGTGGTGCTTGGAGACTGAACATCTCTGTTTGAAAATGGAGATACAGAAGCTTAAGTAGCATAAGGCCTTCACCTGGACTTAGAATAGCAATCAAGACTCCTGCATTAAGTCTGGGGTTCTTGCTATTGCAAAAGGCAGAGAACACCAAAGCATGTAATTTCTCTCTCTTATGGATCAAAAAGAACTATGAGATCTCAGAGTCACCAACTCAGATAACCCTGATGAGGAGGGTTGCAAAAAGCCCCACTCATGTAGACATTGCAGAAGTTTGGGGCAACAGGTATTGCTATAGTAACACTAATGGCCGCATCCCAAAGCCAAGATTTTCTCATCACTGTCATTCATAACAGCGGTGCCCAGCTCTGGCCACATATGTCTGTGATGGTGTCCCTATTCCCAACTCAATCAGAAGATTCAAGTGAAGATTCAAGTGCGCTCATGACTGGCATTAAGCAGTGCTGTCAGAAAAATTCTGATTAAGTAACCTTTATGCATATTAAAAAAAACTATAGGAACAAATTTGCTGCCTGTCCATACTCAGTGACACATACAAATACATTCACACATGTGTAAACAAGCATACATCACATGCAGAAATACTTCACAACCACATAGAGCATAAAACACATATACCACACAGAAAATGGATGCTTAGAACCTACAGGTCAAACAAATATCTAGCGCACAATCCCACCATGCCCACACATGTACACACATAGGTAGCATGGAAACCTCTACATGGCACACACGTACACCATACATAAGTACAGGTACCTCAGGAACACAAACACATGCCCCAAAGTATAGCAAACACACAGGAAGGTGCCCAGAGGTAGACCAGGCACCTGCGCACATTTCCACAAGTGCAGCTCATGGTCATATTGTGCTTCTATTGCTTTCCCCTGTCACAGCACCACGCATGCACTCCACTGCCACTCTCTACTACTCTCCCTCAGAATGGCCTAGAGATAGTGGAAGGGATGTGCGTGAGGGTGGAACACCTTTACTGGTAGAGTTTTCTCAAGGTCAAAGGAGAAAACGGGAGAAATCTGTATGATATTAATCTCCCTCTGTTCCCCAGAATCTCATGTGCCCAAGAACCCCTGGATGGGCCATGGTGGTGGTGGGGACCTGTGTGGGAACAGCAGGGTGAGAAAAAAGAATGCAGAGGGACTGAGGGAGACAGAGAAATGAAGAGGGAATGCAGATTTCTCTCTCTCTCTCTCTCAAACACACACACACACACACACACACACACTGCTCACTCCAAAGATCCCCGTGAGCTCCCAGGCTAAGCCTTCCTCTGGGGAGACTTGGCTTTACCTCAGAGAGGAGTGTGATCTGAGGCTTTGTAAATGGGGACGGTGTGTGCAGGGGACAGGGCTTCTGGGACTGGGGGCTGGAGAGTACATCTCTCTGGTTCCTCCCCAAGCTGCCTAGGAAGGCTTGTGTGGCAGTTATGAGCCTGCAGAAGGTCGCAGTTGTTGCCACTGGCTGATGCCCTCCCTGCACCTCTGGGGAAGGAGAGGCGGGGGCCTGGTGAGATCACCACTCTGTAATGATGCCAATTATGGCTCATATATCACAACACAGCAGCTTGGTCCTGAGGCCCGAGAGCCCAGGTGTGGGGGAGGGGAGCCCAGTGGGAGGAGAGACACACACACACACACACACACACACAGAGAGAGAGAGAGAGAGAGAGAGAGAGAGAGAGAGAGAGAGAGAGAGAGCACACACTGCTGCAGAGGACAGACAACCAGTGCCTCCTACCTTGACCATATACTTCCCTTTTATTCTTTGCACTCAGGATAAGAGAGCCTTTGTCTCTTATTCGGAGACAACATCACTTGTTTCAAAAAGAATTTTATCTTCACAGCTTGTCTTACCTTTGCACCCTAAAAATCTCTTTTAGAACTGATCTTGTGACAAAACATCCACCACGGAGCATCTCGGCCTGCTTGGGAACATTCTCTCGACTCCTCTGTTCTGTCCTATCGCTTTTCTTCCATTTCACTTCTCTCCTTCCACTGCTGCCTCCTCTCTGTACAACCAACCCTGTCCATTGCTATGCCTGGATGTCAGGAGAGATGAGTTGTGGATGTTAAGCTGTGGCTCTTTGTCACCTGCGCTCTGGGCCTCTTGACTGAGTGACCTGTAAAATGGATGCAGTGACACCTGCCTTACAGGGCTGGATTTGCAGGGAGCTGAGGTGACCTAAGAAAATCACCCAGCAAGGTCAGAAGTAGTCCCTATTTCAGGCTCCCTCTGCCTGTTTTTCAAGTGCAATTTCTAAACATTGTCCTGGACTGGTCACCCCATTCTTGCCCCTTCTTTAGACCTCGTGTGTCTCTTAGACTGAAGAGGATGTTAAGGTGGCAACAGGGAGGCTCTGGATAGATTACGTACTCCTGTAGGCACAGGCGCATGTGTGTGTGTGTATGTGTGTATGCGTGTGGAGAAAGACTTCCAGGACTGTTTCAGAAAGTAGCAAGAGCAATGGGATAAGTGCATTCAAAGGCAGAGGAGGTATATTGTGGAGGATTAGTGGAAGTTTATTTTTTTCTGTATTTAATTTGTAAAAATTTGAACATTGAGTGATTATTCAGATCACATGTATGTGAGGAATGTATCTGGAAGGGGGTCTTTAGAAGAGCTAAGGAATAGGATATTTAAAGAAAAGCATTGGCTTGGTTTGGGTGCACCATTGTCCAGAGGTGGCTTTGCTCTGTGACAGAGGAATGACCTCCTCAGGGCTTGCTCAGAATCTGCCAGGGTAGTTTTTACCCTCATGAACGAGTTGAGGGACATCTCATAGGATGGGCTTTATTACTAGGCCACCTGGGCATGGGTGAGGTTATGGTGGAGAATGACTGAGCCAGGTCACAGTACCTTGCAACCCACAGCCTGAGAGCCGACTTCCTCCTCCCAGAAGTGCCTGGGCCATCTCTCTGCAAACCCTTCGCTGCGCATCATCCAGCCCTTCCTTTGTGCATCTCCTGATTCATTTTCCTTCCTTTAACCATTGCATCCATCCTCTGCTTATTCTAACACCCATTTATACGCTTGCTTCCTCCTTCATAACGTGGCTAAAGGCCAGTTTGCCATCCACGTGTCCATTCACTCATACTTTCATTTCCTCGGACACTGAGGCAGTCATTTACACATTGTCTCTTTGCACCAGTTTCACCTTCTGAATGCCTACCACCTGCCGTGCATGGTGTTGCGGCTTAGAAGGAGGAGCAAGACAGTGCTGGCCACAGACATCACAGTCCAGAAAGGAGGAGTGCTATAGGTCCAGTCGTCACTCAACCAACTGGAAATGGCAACATGACAGATGCTTTGATGGATATGTGTGATGGGCTGGTCTTCTTTGGCAGATGGACTGAGACAAGAGGGTGCTTAGTAACGTGCTAAAGGAGGATCTGGAAGGCACAGGAGAGGACAGGAATAAAAGCTCAAAGGAAAGAGAAGAGTGGGGGTGAAGAAGAAGGAAGCTGGTGTTTTATTTATGTTGATTTCAGTCCCTTGGGCTGAAACTCACTGAGCTCTCCCTGGGTGTCAGGCTCTAGGCTAGGCTCAGATGAATCCCCAGTACCGATGCCTCCTACCACAACACTAACTGTGTGCAAAAGGCAGGAGGTGGGAAGGCACCACTGGGCTGAGACTCCTGAATGCCCAAAGGGACAAGGGAGGGACATTCAGTGTGGTGGGCATTCCACACAGGGAGAGCTCCCAGACATCTCCCAAAATCTGGGTGCACACATTGACATAGTTGCACCAGGCCTTGAAGGACTGATAGGATTTGGTCCTGGGAAGGCAGGTGGATGTTTTGGGAGCCCAGGTGGATAGAAACAGAAGGACAGAGGTGGGGGAGTGTAGGACTCGTAGACAGCCAAGAGTAGTCTACTCACATTGGACCAGCTCGCGTGTGGGGATGCTGAGAGGAGAGGAGGTGGATCACACCATAGAGAGCACTGAGAGCCTGCCAAAGGGCAAGGACTTGATCCTAGATATGGGAAGTGCTGGGGAGGGCTTTGAATGAGCAGAAGCATGATTAAACTGGGTTCAGGGCCAGTGGTGATGGTGGTGGCTCCCAGCTCCACTGGAGACAAGTGAATGGAGTCAGGGAGACCAAGGGTGGCTCTGCCAATGGAGCTCACCCCTTTCCACTGTCCTGAAGATAGAACAGGCAAGTCCACTGGGGACCAGGGAACAGCAAGGAGGTCAGCTTGTGGGCAACAAAGGTGGCCCCATCCACCAACTTGCACTGTGCTTCCCCTCAGGGTCAGAGTGCGCCACCTCGTGCCTGGACCACAACAGCGAGTCCATCATCCTGCCAACAAATGTGACAGTGCGTGACATCCCTCACTGGCTGAACCCGACACGAGTGCAGGTGAGTGACCAGGGCCACAGCCTGTGGCTAAGGCAGAGGAAGATGCCATCGCGGAGCCCCACGTTCATCCCTGTGCTTGCACTGTTTCATGTCATCATCACTCCTTCTTGAACACTTCTCATCAGGACCCATACGAAAGGCATTTCAGGGGCTGGGGATTTAGCTCAGCGGCAAAAGCGCCTGCCTGGCAAGCTCAAGGTCATGAGTTCGGTTCCCGGTACCGGAGAAAAACCAAAAAAAAAAAAAAAAAAGAAAGGCATTTCATTTATTGTACTCCTGAGTGCTGATGTTGGCCTGGTACAATGGGTCCTCATGTCCTTGGTTTACAGGTAAGGAAACAAGGCACCAAGAGCACTTAGGTAGGTACTGAAGAGTGAGATTACAGCCTAGGGTCTGTCGGACTGTCATATCCATACTCATAAGGAAAGTGCTCTTTGGTTTCCCTGGTGCCCTCACCCTAGATGTACAACCTACAGTGGTCTCCATCTCTGGCTTCTTTCTTGCACTTTCCCTGTTTGGTAAAAAGAACATGTGATGTTCAGGACACTAGTCACACCTATCCTTTACAGAGCCCTGTGTTCACGTAGCTGGCACTTTGCATACAAATGATATTTAACACTCAAGCAGGGTAGGAGGGAGGGGTCATGGTTGACCCCCATGGCCACTGCATTCTCAGAAGTGTGATGGACCCAAAGGGAGGCCTCAAAGCCACACTCAAGTGTAGATACTGGGGCCTTCCTGTGTGTCAAGCTGGCCTAATGACTACTGACCCACCACCATCTTTTTGACAGTGACAGTTTGACTGTGAGGTTGGTCTTTCCCACTTACCCTTGTGTCACCTGATCAGGTGGGTCCCCCTGAGATGATGTGTCTCCCATTCCTGGCCTCCAGGGCAGCATATTCTCAGGTCTCATGGTGGCTTTGGACACTCGCTCCTCACCTTGGAGAGGCAGGGAAGGAGGTGGTGGCAGAGGCAACAGGCGCTGTTGAGCTGAATCTTTCTTCACCAGCCTTTCTGCCCAGGCTGCTGGGAGCTGCTGTCTGCCAGCCTGCTGTAGATTGAGCTCCGGATAGCTGGGCAGAACCCGATACGGGGTGTACTGTTTCTCAGATGAGCTGAGGGCATGGTTTTGAGGGCTTACTCAGCACTCTTGGCATGTGGACCTGACCAGACCCCGCCACTTCCTGCACCCCCCAGCTTTCAGGTCCCCTCCATTCCTTCTCCTTTTTCTCTTCTTCTTCTGCTCTCTCTTTCCTGTCTCTTTGTTTCTCCCCCCTCATTCCCTTTTATTCTGCCTCTACTTTTGTCAGTTTCTCCCTCCTCCCTATCACATCTTGTTCTCCTGACCCGCTTCCTCCCCTGCGTGTTCTTCCCCTCCAAGTCTGTCTTCTGTCCCTCCCTCTCCCTCACTGCACAACGACAGGACAGCCCGTTACACTGGCCTCAGACTCACTCATCTGTTTCCTTTACTTCAGAGTGCCTTTCCCCATTCCTAAAGCAGAAATACCCAAGAATGTCCTGATATGCACAGATGTGCAGAAACACCCAGCAGTGTGCACAGACTGTGTCTGTCAGACTCAGAAGGCAGCTGGAGATCCCAAAGTCCAGGCCCCTGGTTACACACATAGAGAAACAGAATCACAGGGACAGGAGAGCGAGTCCTGCCAACCACCTACCAGTCAGGACTAGGATGGGCAGCCCCTCCTAGTTCTCTGTACCTTCTCCACCTCCCCCACACCCCAAAGCATGAGAGACCTCCCTGTCACCCCAGAGTCGAGGTCTTCTTGGCCCGGCCGAGCTCCCACTTGAGGCTTTTCCTACCTCCTGAGTAAATTCCCACCCTCCTCTCTGTGAGCTCTGGGCACTAAAGCGTTCGGTTATAATTCACTGTGAAGTAAATCCAAGGATCTGAAAGCCTGCGAGCCGCCCGCCCACCCCCCCAGTCGCCCACCCGCTGCCTGCCTGCCCCAGCCCCCACCCAGCTCCCTGGTCTGCCCGCCTTTATTGATGCCGGCCTACTGAGAGAGCCATAACGAGGTTCAGACCTCCACCAGTCTCTGGAGGCCTCATTATCCAGGAGGAAAAAAAATGTAGAAAAAGGGAGGAGGGCGAAGGGCATAGATTGATGATTTCCAGGAAGAAGGCAGAGAAGCTGGCCCGTGCTGCACCCTTGCCCTCAGTGCTGAGCTGCACAAATAGAGCTGCAGTCCTGGCGTTTCCGGCCCCAGGGAGGCCAAGACTAACTGCTCGGCATCCTGAGGGAAAGCCCCACACAGCAGTGAGAGAGGGATGGTCTGGATGAGGCTCTGCTCCAACTCCGAACACCTTTGCCCCAGGGTAAGAGAGAGGCCAGAACGGACTAAGGATACACTTGCTGTGTTAAGCACTGGGCCAGGGGCTTCCTATCCACCTCACCACACACACACACACACACACACACACACACACACACATTCACACTTACCCCTCATACACCTCTATAAACTAGATGAGCATTAGTCTTCTCCCATTTCCAATGGAGGAAATAAAATTTCAGAGATGAGAGCCACATGCTGAAGAGGAATTGAAGAAGGACTTGGATCAGTCCATGCACTGGTTTGCTTCCGCCATGCAGCCCCCATGGATGTAGAATAATAATCACAATGGCGAGATATTAACAGATTGATTACCAAGCTTGCACTGGCCAATGTTTGAAAACTATCTCTCCCGCCCCCAAAATGAACTCTAATTTGTAGCATTTGCCAATTTTCACAGTGTAAATACTCCCACCACACGGGAAGTCAAGGTATCCAAATGCCCATCACTGAACACAAGGCTGGCGAGATGCAGGTTCTAAGGGCCTCTTGAGCCTGTGGAAACTGGCTGCAGATCACCACTTCCATTTACCCATGACACCATTTTAAGCCCTTTACTGTACTACATATGCAATGAAACACAGATGGGTGACTATCAATACTGAGATCATGTGTCCTTATTAGTATACAAGGACTTCAACGTTGTACAGACAGGACTGTGGTCATTTTATTTCCTGAGGAACATCCCTCAGTACACAGCACACAGTAGATGCACAGTAAATATTTACGGTTGCTTCATCAAGTGACCAACTTGTGGTCCTTTATGCTTTATGTCCTGGAGCAAATCCTACCGCTTCTCTGGGCCATTTTTCTCATGAAAGCTGGATCTAGGTCAGATGTCACGAACTGAGGCACTTGCGGAACCAGGAGGGTGGGGTGGGTGAGGGAAGCTGGTCCAGCATATTATTCTGCACTTTTGAATACCTAGGCATATTATTAATATTGGCAGTCATGCTGTTTTCTATCAATATTTCTGAAAGTCAGAAAAATGGACAAAAATATAACAAACACCCATATATATGCTACCCGATTTTAGAAATAAAATTTTGTATTATGGAAGTTCTTTTCTTTTCCTTGAGATCTAACTTTCATGCTCCTGTAAAGCATAAGGCTTGATAAATTCTTACACTTGTGCACATCTATGAAACCATTATCTCTATCAGGGTGTGACCCTTCCCACCTAGCCAGTGAACAATTCCCTTCTTCACAGCAATGCCTCCACCACCAAGGTACCAGGAGTTCTGCTCTCTATGAATGGATCTGGTTTACATTTGAACTTCATATAACTGAAATCATAAAGTATATTCATGAACTTCTTTCATAGGCACATTTTGAACTTCTATAAAGCAAACACTTCTTGTTTTCTCTAAATCATCACCTTCTTACACTCCCTCCCTACACATGTACTTTGAAAGAGATACAAAGACAGATAACTCTCCCTCCAACTGAATAAATGAGAAGTCACACATTCAGTGATCTACACAAATGCCGTTCTAGCTCAGTGCTGGAGGAGCTAGGGGGAATAGTGGAGACTGTGGTGAACCATGAAAAACATCTTTGTTTTATTGGCTGTTTCCAGAGTGGTCAGATCTAGCCAAGGGCAGCAGTGTGGAAATGTGGGCCTAGTATAACCACGTTTTCCACTTTTTACTTGAGTACAATAAATCTGGAGTTTTTAAAGTTGGAATCTCTTTTAATTTGGCAACCAATTTTGACCTTTTCCAAGCACTCGTATGCCAAAGCAAATACTTCTGTGGGTTGTGTATCCTAGAACTCCTGGATCGCAAACTTTGGATGAGATAGGCTCTACCAGCTTGGATATTTAGAATTTTGGGGGGCACTGGGGAGTCTTCTCCCATCAGCTCCTAGGGAGTAATTCCAGTCTACTCCTGCATGACCCTTTGTTCAGGGATGACAGGAGAGTTTTACAACATAAGATACAGCTGTCATGCTCAGCAGCATATAATTTCTTTAGGTAGCTGAATCTTTAGCTTTTATAATGGCTCTGGAAGAAGAACAGGAGAAGAAAAGAGAAAGAGAGAGAAAGAAAAGAAAGAGACATTACCATTTACTGACTGTGATGATAAAGGCCACATTTGCTGGGACATTTCCACATATGCCACCTCATTTTGCCTCTGTCGCACCCACTGAGGTGAATACTCTTACCATTTTGCAGATGGAGCTGAGGCTCAGAGAGATTGTAACTGTCCAGCTCAAGTCATGTGGTTAAATTTTTTAATTCTGCTTAACTCATCCTGCAAGGAAAGCATCCTACACACTTTGGAAAATAAACCTATGTAATACATGAAGGCAAGGTACAGACTTCATCACTCAAAAAGAAAGAAGGATAGTAGGAAACTGCCTGGAGTCTGGAGATGACAGGTAGATAGTAACTAGTAAGTCCAGCTTCTCTGATATAATAGATGAAGATTCCAAGTGCCCTGGAGAGGATGTGGGTAGAAAAAGAGAAGTGGCCAGAATCTACTGATTTCTCATTCTCCCACACTTTCACTCATCTGATCATGTGTTTGTTTTTTCCTTCATTCAATAAACGTTATGATTTCCAAGTGGCAAACATTCTTTAAACACTAAGAAAGAGCATAAAAGTGTCTAAGCTTTTAAGAATCCTACTCAGAAGAAAGTTAGAAACTTACTGCTTGACAACAAAAGTCAATAATAATAATACTAACTAATATGATTCTCTCCTGGTAGGTCCTGTAAATCAAGGAAAAAGGAGAGCTTATCTGAGAAGACATTCAGGAAGGGGTCAGATCTGGGTCTCAGGATGAGGAGGTCCTCTAAAGATGGCCTCCCACACATCCTTGGCTCTGAGTAGGGCTTGTTTGCTTTCTACCTCATCTTTTAGACACTCTCTCCTCTCCTGCACCTGTCTCAGCATCTCTTTACCTTTCTGAACTTTGACCTTCTCCTCGATTGAATGAGGAAGCTACTTTATAATTATAGCTCCAGGGACTATGAGACTTTGAAGGAGAATGTGGTGTTCGAAACCTAGACTTTAAAAGCAAATAGCTGGAGGTTTAAGTGCCAGCTTCACTGCCTGTCTTTGTGAAGGATGACTTCTCATTCCTCAGCTTTCTGTTGTGCAAATAAGAGTCTAAAATAATATCTGTCTCATTATTACAGTAAGTCATCAGTGTGGGGAAAGTTCTGAGCATAATATTCTTCTACTATAGGGTTCCTGGTGGTGAGTCTGAAGACAAAGATGATGGTGTTGGTGTTGATGGAAGTAATAAGAGTGCTTATACTTTGTTGAGGATGACTGTGGTAGTGATGGTGATGATAGCAGTGATGATGATGATGACGATGGTAGTGTGAGGATAAAGGTAAAGAGGAGGAAGAAGTTAATAGTGGTGACTCTGGTAGTGCTGATGGTGTTGCTGATGATGCTGGTGGTACCAGTGGTAGTGGTGCTGATGATGTTGCAAAAATGGCAGCTGCAGCCAGAAAGGAAAGACAACCCATTCTTCTTAAACACTGAGGTGGGAAATGAAAACTTCTTACAAAACCTGAAGGGCTCTTCTTGGGCTACATGTCTCACTGGCATTAGGAAGAACAAGGCCGACATTTGAGGTGCCCCATCTGGGATCCCTCAATTTGTGGTCTGAACAGCCTAGACTTTCCTTCAGTTCCCACTGCCTGTCTCCTTTCTGAGTTTCCCCAGCACACAGAGGGACCCTGTAGTAAGACAGGTGGGGCGTGCAGACCTGAGTAATAGTGGAAAATCCAAAAGCTTTGGAAAGATAAATAGGCTTACACAGATAGTATAAAAGTCCTTTTTCTGAACTCACGTTAGGTAAACCTCAACTGACAGAAACTTGTACAACTACACCAAGACACTGCTGCAGATGGATTAAATTAGCTGTCAAATAAACAGGGGGAGGGATGGGCATCAAGTCCCTGGTGGATCCTAACCCTGCTGTTTTCTACTTCTTGAATCTTTACCAAATACTCTCCAACATTTCTGGATTTGGGCTAAGAACAGACACTTGGGCTCAGAGAAGAGAGCTAGTTAAGGTTTTTCAGAGAATTAAAGCAGGTGATCCTGTTCACTGTGGCCCCATGGCTGGAAAGCAGAGGTGAAGAAGGAATATTGAGGAACGCACATTCCTTTCTATGTATTTGTTCACTGTGTCTCCTGTCTGATCTTGGGGAAAAACAAAGATGTCTGAAATCTAGGATCTGTCTTCAAGAAACTTAAGAAATGGGTCCAAAAACGTTTTCTTGTCCATTTATCTCAACAAGCCTGTGACGTTTTCAGTACTATTTCACAAGCATCATAGATGATATTGCGAAAGAAATTTCAAATTAGAATTGTAAACACGTCTGTCCTGTTTCCAAGCCTATGGTCTTTCTCATAGACCACCTGTGTGTATATTGGGAGAGGTTAGACAGTCTCAATATAGACAGTGGTGAACTAGATAGTAAGTGTTACATCGTGAGACTGACTGATAGATCCTCAAGTTAAGCTCTTGGTCCAAGATCTTTAATTTAACTCAGTCTACATTAAGGTGACTCACTAAACTAGAAACTATGCCTGGCATTGCAAACACTCTTCTGGTACTCTAGTAGAGAGAGGATAAGTAGAGAATCATCTTTACTTGTTGATAAGAATTATCTCTACTTTAGTAGAATCATCTCTTTTCTGACATGGACCCATTCTTTTTTTTTTTATTTTAAAAATAAAAGGAGGAAAATATTAACAGACAGTCGACCTTTTACAAAATAGCAAAGGAACAGTACAGACAGTACAGAG